CACCAGGGCTTAAGTGCACTGATAAGTGGTATAGAAATGTACTTGCTATATCCAAATTTATATGGGCTGGCAAGAAGCCAAGAATCAGATGGAACTCTATGGTAGATACTAAAGAGAGAGGTGGTTTAGGGATCCCAAGTCTTAAATTGTACTATCAGGCCTGTTGTATGGATTGGTAGAAAGAATGGATATTACTAAAAGACCTAAGACTATTGAACTTAGAAGGATTTAATATCAGACATGGTTGGCATACCTACCTCTGGTATAACAAGCAGGAAGCCAACAAAGAATTTAATGACCATGTGATAAGAAGATCTCTGTTAAGGACATGGCAAAAATATAAGATTAAATTTTATAGAAAACTAACAGACTGGACTTCTCATCACAAAGCCTTTTTTGAGAAGAGAAAATTTAATAGAAAAAGGTTGGCAGAAATATAAAAATATTCTTAACTGGACAGATGGGAAACCAAAACTGAAAGAATGAGAGGATTTAATAAAAGAAGGTAAAAATTGCCAATGGTTCCCATATAGACAACTCAATGAAAGAACAAAAGTAGACATAAATCTATATGGTAGTACAAATAAGAGTACCTATGTTTGCCAGTGGGTAACTTACTAGGCCCCACTAGGATGTGGGGCATTAGTGCTCAGCCTTTGGCCCTGCAGATATTTTGAGAGCCAGCGTGATATAGTGGTTTGACTGTTGGACTATAACTCTGGAGACCAGGTTTCAAATCCTGGCTCAGTCGTGGAGACCCACTAGGTGACCTTGGGCAAGTCACATTCTCTCAGCCTGAGGATTGCAATGGCAAACCCCCTCTGAAAAAACTTGCCAAGAAAGCCCCATGATAGGGCTGCCTTAGGGTCGACATAAGTCAGAAACGACTTGAAGGCACACAACAACAACAACAACAACAACAACAAATAATAATAATGATAATGATAACAACAACTTTATTTTTGTATCCCGCCTTTTGCCTTTGCCTCTCCCTTTTTTATTTGTCTCTGTCCTGTATGATTTTTAACCTCATTGCCAGATGAAGAAGCCAGCGGAGCTTCAAAAACTTGCAACATGCATTTTGTGCATTTTTCGTTAGCCCTATAAAGATATCATTTTGTCAGGATGGTGAGGCATCCTCCTTTTCCAGGGCCTGTCCTACATTTCAGCCTTCTGTCCGGCATGAATTTCAAAATGTCCTCCATTTTGAGCAGGACAAAGATGCATTAATATACGTTTCTGTGAGTGAGTTTAATAGCTTGTTTAATGGGTCATGTCCTCTATTTTTCTTGCAGGTCCTCCATTTTGCTGTGCCTTGTCCTCCTCTGTGGTGAGGACCTCTGGTCACCTTTCTGTTTTGTGGATTTTGGAGGTTCTTATTGTCCTTTGCTACACTGGCCCACAGGAGAGGTGAACAACAGCCTATCTATCTTCTAGTGCAGTGGTTCCCAAATTTTGATCCTCCCAGGTGTCTTCAACTTCAATTCCCAGAAGCCCCAGCCAGCTTGGCCTGCAGTCAGGAATTCTGGGAGCTGAGGTCTAAAACATCTGGAAGGCCAGAGTTTGGGAAGCATTATTCAGCTCCTTTGAGACTAACTGAAAGAAAGAAGCTTTGCTGGAGCTGAGACTCCTTCCTTAGGTGCATGTGGTCAACAACAAAGGTTTTGAACTTCAACTCCCAGACTTCCTGCGCATTAGTCCATGCTGGCTGGGACTTCTGGGAGTTGAAGTTCAAAACTTCTGGAAGAGCCAAGGTGGAGCCTGACTGCCTCCCAGAGAAATGAAACTGAAAGTCAAAGGGCTCCTTTTGTGGGAAGTAGCAAAGTTTTGCAGGGAGGGATCTCCTCTTCTTTCCTCTGCCTGATTTCTTGCAAAACCCAGCAGCCTTTTTCCTTCTCCTTTCTTGCTTCCAGGGCTGCAGCCCATCCTGAAGTCCTGCCGCCTGACTGATCTTTTCCTTTGGTAAGTCTGGTTAGGGGCAGGGTGATTAGATGTCCTCACCACAAAGGAGGACAAGGCACCGCAAATTGGAGGACCTTCCAGAAAAAGGGAGGTCATGCCCCAAGAAAAGCTGAAACCATTCCTAGAATTGTCAATCCATGCTTCTTAGTCATGCTCAAAAATGGAGGACATTGTGACAGTCCTCCTGGACAGGAGGTGGAAATGGAGGACATGTCCTGGGAAAGGAGGACGCCTGGTCACCCTGGGTTAAGGCTGGGCATCTGGCTTAGAAACAGTGGCAGAGTAGAGCAGCCCCTTCCCCATTTCTTAAATATACACTGTACTCCAGGGCTTCCCAGACTTTAGTCCTCCAGATGTTTTCCACTTCAGCTCCCAGAATTCCTGACTGTTGGCCATGCTGACTGGGGGTTCTGGGAGTTCAAGTCCAAAACCCCTGGAGGATCAGATTTGGGGGGGTTCTCTCTGTCTCCGGGGCCCCATTTTCTTTGCCCTTTGGACCAACTCAGGCTGGGTTTTTCCAAAGTGAAACCCAAAGCCTTTCTGCCTGCGCTTGGTTTTATTTTTCATGGGTGGGGGAGGAGGGGGTACTGTTGGTAAAAATGAGCCAAATTGCCAAAAGAAATAAATCACAAAACTGGAAGTAACCCAAAGACAATTTTTCCCTCTTGAAAAATAGATATATTTGATGTTAACTAGTGCCACCTATTTAAAACATGAATTACATCATCATCATCATGCTCAAAACTGTGTGTGAATTCAAAGATATTGCCATGTTAGTCTGTAG